CAGGGTCGGGTCTTTTGTTCATTGGGTCACTATGAGTTGTACTTGAAACAAAAACAATACGTCAGCAAATGATGGTTTGGAAAGTTTTACTCCATTCACATTAATAAAGTACACTCCAGTTTGTGAAGGCAACTCTTTCTATTTATATCCTGAATGCCTTCTACATAAGGAGCTCATCTTCTGGAATGATATTAAATAGTGTTCTCTTAAGGTCTTGGTACTGCTATTAATGCTTATTAATAACCATCAATTTGTTAGCTATGTCTTTAACTTATGATTAACTTTATTTTTTTTAATACTGGTTCATTTATAAAGTTTGAATACATTGTTTTTCACAACAGATCTTTCCCATTTCCTTCATTATCCCCACCAATCAAACTGTGCGACCCTATGATTAACCCTCTCCCATCCTCACTTCTCTGTCTTCATCTCCCCCTTGGATCCTCATATTCGTTCTACAATAGTGGTTTTATATAGTGTTTGTCCTTTTGGGACTGAGTTAGTTCACTCAGTATAATTCTCTCCAGTCCCTCCCAAGTTAGGTAGTCATTTTCAAAATTGCTCCTGTGTGCTGATGTAGTCCATCATGTGAATGTACCATCATTTCTCAATCCATTCCACTGTAGCTGGACATCTGGGCTGTTTTCATGTTCTTGCTATGGTAAATAATGCTGTTGTGAACATTGGTGTACATGTCTCTGTGCCTCAGTTCTCATTTTCTTGGGTTATATTCCAGGCAGTGGAATAGCTGGGTCATATGGAATTTCTCTGTTCAGCTTTTTTTTGAGGAAGAGATGTTATAGACATTTTTCCTTAAATTAAATAACCCCTCTAAATGAAATAATGTTGTTAGTTGCAATCTACTGAATTGTCTCTATTTCTGTGTAGGACTCTCAAGATATCTTCTGAAGAGTATCAGATCCTTTCACATTTTCTAATGTGCAAATTACATGATTTAAACCCTTATTCATAGCTCATAGCTTAGAACCAACTCATAACTGATCCTCCACTGAGGCTGTGAGTAGGGGTGGGAATTGGCCAGTTTTCTTCCAAGGAGCAGCTGCTCAATTCAAACTGCCTGCCTTTGGGTTGGCAGCACAAATCTTTACCACTGTGCCACCAGAGCTCATTAGTTGACTACAGAATTAAAACATTAGTAATTCCAAAAAGCTAAATACCTTAAGTTAGAAAATAATTTTAACAAATGGCAATCTGTAACTCTGAATGATAGAATGTCAAACTTTGAAACTTTTTTTAATTGTGATTTTAATGAAAATTTACAGAGAGGTTAAGTTTTCATTAATTCACTGATACACATTTTCTGTCCTCCCCTTCCCCCAATTCAGTGGGGGAACTGTACTAAATTATAATGAACCTCTTGCTCCAGATTGTTAACTGTCATATATATAACACCTAGTCATACATTCCTTTCAGGCAGTCCTTTCCTTCATCTGTTCCAGTGTTCATCCTGCCCACTCTTTTCCTGTTCCTCCCCACTCCCTCAAACCCTACCACATAAATCTTATTTTATAACAGCACTCTTAGGCAGTATTTGTCCTTTTGTGAATAAGATATTTCACTCATCATAATATCTTCATGACTCACCCATGCTTTGTAGTGTTAGACAAATTCATTGTTTTCCAGTGTTGTGTAATATTCCACTATGTGATTATACCATGGCTTTCCTATCTTTGTTTACTGATGAATAGCTGAGTGCTGGGCTGCTTCCACCTCTTAGCTATTGTGAGAATTACAGCAATAAACATGAGTGTGCACACATCTGTTTGCATCACGGCTCTGATTTCTTTTGGGTATATTCCCAATAGTAGGACAGCTGGGTCAAAGGGAATTTTAATTTCCAACTTTGTAAGAAAGTGCCAGACTACTTTCTGTAGTGAAACTTAGTGAATCTTTTGCAAGATTATTTCTGAACAAATGTTTTTCCACACACATTCTGGTTATTTTTTAAGCTTTAGTTGACAGTTTCATTAGATTGCCTACACTGGCAGGTTCAATGTGCAATAAATCAGTTATAAATAGATACTCTTAGATTTTTCTCACATGCACCTATCCCAGGAACTCAAATCAGTGCATTGAGGCTCAGAGCAGTCATCTGTAGTAAAAAATTCAAAGCATATGTTCTCTGCTGGTGGGTTCCTAGTTTCCCTTTGGTATGAGCATGTTTGTGCTCATGTGTGTTTATGTGTCTCACATGTAAAGACAATAAAACATTCAAAGATAAACAGTGGAAACAATCTCAACTATTCTTCAAAGAGAATAAATACCCTTAGTCTTATTGCTACTTAGGCCTATTACAACTTTCAATTCTGACATCAAACCAAGAATTTGTTCCATGTTGTATTCACTTATGCCAAGCTTCCTAGAAACACGCTTCTCAGAAGAGTTTAGGGAGTCACTCACCCACACAAACTTTGATAGGGCCCAAAGACTTCACTTGCGTTCACTGCATTTCAAGTGATCACTTTAAAACACATCCCTCTGTCTACCACAAGCTCAAAAGCTATACTTCTGAAATGAAACTTGTTGGTAAATATCAGAGGGACAGGACCACCAGGAGGGCAGATTCACAGCATGGCCCAGGGCCACATTGGCATGAAATGTTGCTCTTCAGAGGTGCAAATCTCTTCCATGCCTCCCTGGCCAGTAGGAGGTCCTAGTTAGGAATGGCCTGGGGAATCCAGAGACTTTCCCAGGAAGAAGAATGAGTCTGCATTCCCACCAAACATTCGTTTTAGCTCTAACTTAGTCTGGAAGAAATGTTATCAAGACTTCCACAAGGCTGACATCTATGCCTAATGGCCATGGAGACAGGTCACTGGTGAAGTCAGAATGGTTGCACTGGTGCTTCATGGGCAAATTTGGTTTAGTATCAAGTCCTCCTAGAGCTGAAGTGTGTGTGGCATTCCATCAGCACAGGTGACAGCTGTGTAAACTATGAGGGAATTATGGAACCCAGTAATATTCTATGATGTAACTGAGATTATTTATTATTTACAGAATGGGTGTCAGAATCTGTGCTTTTGCTGGAAATTAAAAACAGCATAAATAAAGCCATCTTCAGAATCTACTGGAAAGTTGGTAATGTGTCATGATCAATGCTCAACTCTCCATCTATAATCTAGAGACTCGTGCAATTACGGGTGTGGTGTCTGTTGTTCTATATTGTCAAGCTGAAGCCGATTCATAGCTGACATGCCAGCAGTTCAAGAGGATGTACACTGCACAGAAAGAGACTTCCCGTCTTTCTCCACTGAACTAGACAGTGGATTCAACCTGTGCCTTTGGGTTAGTGGTATAACTCCTTACCAATAGGCCACCAGGAATATTCCAGAAAAACTGACTTGTTTTTTTATAGACATAGACAGTGATTCCTACAAGTTAATATATGGGGAAGGATGGATAAAGTATTCTATTGTGGTTAATCTCATGAAATAGTTTATGCTTCTAATTCAAGAACCACTTAGAGACTACAAATGTGCCAAGATTTAGGGCACTGAAAAAACTTTCAAAACAAAGTGTTAAACCAAAAAAAAAAAAAATAACCCCAAACAACATGCGATCCCCACCTCCCTGGAAGTCATATTTCTTGCTGAAATGCACACACATACACAAATCATTAACAATATAAATACCATTTGTTGTATGCTTGGCATGCATCAAGCTGTTTAAAGTGTTTTAGAGATCTTAACTAAATTCAAATCTTAAAATAATCTCATCACCTTGGTGTTATTGCCATCTCCATTTTTTTTTAGATAAGTGTAGAGAGACAGCAGAACAGAAGGTTAATTAACTTACTCAAAGTAACGTACTGAGGCTATTATTAGGTGCTGCAGAGCCAACTGTGACTCACCATGACCCTAAGAACAGCTGATATGAACCTTGCCCTATCCTGTGTCATCCTGAGCATCTCTAACATACGCAAGCCCATTGTCATGATCACTGCGTCCATCCATCTTCCTCTCCTTCTCTGACCCTCGACCTGTCTCAGCATGTCTTTTTCTTAGGACTGCCTCTTCCTGACAACAAAACCCAACTAGTAAGTGACAAAGTCAGTTGGAACCCAGACTATCTTGTGCAAGAATCCACCCATCGCTGCAGTTTCTCCAGTTAAAATACAAGCAAGTGCTTTTAAAAACAGAGTAAATAGTAAAGGTGGCATATGACCTGAATCTTGAAAATGATTAAGACAATGAGAGGGGGGCCTTCAGGAAAATCTCATTCCAGGAAGAGAGAGAAAATGGTGATGTTAAACAGATGACTGTGACCACAATGCAAGATGCAAAATGAAAACATAATCTGCACCAAAGTTGTGATGAACTGGAAATTCTTCCCCCCCCCCCACCATTAACTGAGATGTCATGGGAAGCCTCTGCTAAGGGGAATGACAGAGTTACACTTGCAAGGATTCTGAAGGATAAGATGAAGGTGCAGTGGGAAAACTGGTAGCCCAGGGATATGTTATCTGGTCCATTTCCTTCACTTCTTCCCAAGTATTGTCCCTAGGGAGACCAGCACTAATGTATGTCATTATAAAATGAAAGTACCATATTCTCAGGGCAAAAAAGTTTTCACCTTGCAAGCGAGCTTCTTCAAATGATACTCTGAAAAGGTTCCTAGCTTTACGTTGAGGCAACAATGTTTTGATCACCTGGGGTTATTTTCCATGGGTTCAAGAAAGGGGGCATGCTGGCATGGCGACAAAACAATCATGACTTTTCATGGCTAAGCCTTCTTTACTTCTCAAGTCTACTTTCTCGGAAGACCAATCACACACAACCATGTATGCCTTCTACTGTTCAAAAAGATCATATCATATGTATTTCATTCTATTTTCCCCCTTTTCAGTGCTGACCGCTCCACAAACATTCTTCATTTGCTTCAGACAAATAGAAGAATGTGTTTTGATTATCCAGGTAATGAGAATTTTGAGAACTAAGGACAGCCGACTGGCCCAGCCTCCACTGAAAAGGTCCACTTACCTTTTTCGCTCCCTGTTCTTCTTCCACACCATCTCCTATAACAACATACACCACTTTCCTTCCAAACCTCTGGATTATCCTCTCAAAACAGCTCTCCTTTCCTGATTAAAAAAATTATAAAATATCATAAATGTAAAGTTTGAGTAATCCAATACTACAATACAGGAACTTGGAACTTAAAAAGGCCAGCATTTTCCTTCTGATTCAGCTCTATCCCACTTGTGTATACTAAGAGAAGAATGCTTTCATATGCTACTAGGGTACTTTGTGGACTGGCACATGTTTTTTTAAAACCTGTAAACTAATTAGCAAGTGGGTTTTATTCCTTGGAAATTGAAGCTTTGATACTCTTTCCCTAAGAATTCATTTATTGTGGAGCAGGACCCAGTAAATCGCAGTTTAGCAGTTGAAGGAAATGTATTATTTATTACTATGTTTCCCCTCCCTACAAGCAGGAGTAATCAAATGCATGTGATTCCAGTGACATATTTTTGCTTGATTTTAACCATGTTTTAATGTATCAAACCCCAAAAATAATGACTGAGCCAAAAACAATTGAGGATGACGAAGAATAACTGGAACTGGTACTGTTACAGCAAGAGAAAACAAAGCCAGGATGAATTTATCCTTTTGTTTTTGGGTTAAGATTCTATTTGAATTAAAGACTCCTGAAGCCGATGGTGTTTACCTGGAATATTCTAGAGGACAGCTTGTGAAATAAATGTCAGGTAGTGTAGGGGACTACTGAGAGATCATACCTGCCTGCCTTACCCAGGAACCTAGTGTGCAATACAACACTTTCCTAGAGAAAAGCCAGGATACAGGTAACAGAACACCTTTATCTGTCTGTTATCTTTCCCATGTCATGACTCAGTTTGGGCTCCTGTGGCCGGCTCCACTGTCAGCACAGCCCGGCAGTTAATGCGGTCATTGTTTCTTCCCAGTGAAGGAACTGGTGCACCAAGTGCTGAGCTGCCAATAGGGTCATTTCAATGGACAATGGGGAAGTTTATAGCTTTCAAACGTGAATGGCTGAGCTGGGACTGCGTGTCTTTCAAAGCAGGATCAGATATACACATGAACAAATTGCTTGTTTGCTTAAACAAATGTGTGCTTTATATTTGTATTTTGCACTAAAGTCTCTCGTTTGCATCTGACAGAATGAAATCGGGCCAGGCTTATTCAAAGGACGCAATTTCAATGTGTCTTTAGTCGTCCACCAAACTGTGAAATATGAAATCACTTTCCAAAACAAATATAAAATGTTTTCACTGCAAAAATATACAAGCCAAAAGTTAGATATCATGAAACACCCCCCACCTCTCATCCTTAATATCTGTAGACATTTTAATCAAGTTTTATTTTCCAGAAAAAAATGGCAGGTAAATTTGATGCTATTTAAAGGTTTAGCTGTGTTGGAGGGAGAAGATGTTTCCCCTCCTTATTTATAAGCTATATGCGATTTCTGAGTCATGTATACATTTTCCACAATTAAGAAACTGAACTGACATTTATATAAACTTTTGATGTTAGTGAATCCATTTTACCTGGAAAAGCATATTGACACTGTTGTTAGTTGTTGTTGAGTGGAGTACGACCTGTAGCGATTTAATGAACAACAGACCTGAACCCTGTCCTATCCTGTGCCACCCTCACACTTCCTGACATGCCCACTACAGCAGTCACTGTGTCAGTCCACCTGGTTGAGGATCTTCCTTTCTCTTTTTGCCAACCCTCCACCTTTTCAAGCATGGAAATAGTATATAATTCGGGAAATTATAAGCTAGTTGTTGGAAAACTCCAGGAATTTCTGCGCTGATACCAAAATTGTATCTCCTTTGATAACAAATTAAGTAGCAACTGTCAAGGTTTCTGTCTCTATTTTTCTTATTAAAAGCTTCTAATAATAGTTTTGTGATAATTTCTACCAGGATAAATTTTAGCTTTGTATTTTTTGGGTACACAATAAAAATTAAAAGTTCACTATCACAGACAAAATAGTCATTAAAATATGTAATATTTAACAAGATTGTTATTATCCTATTTTTCAAATTATTGGGGATTGGAGTTAAATACATATCATTCCTCTCTATTGATATATATAAAACAAGACTTACACCTGTCATGCTGGGCAAGGTAGAATATCAACAAAAGAAAGGAACTTCCTATGCGATGGATTGATTCAATGACAGGGTAGGGAGGGACGACAGAGAAGATGAAGATGGAATAGGAGAGGGCAAGATTCAGATATGTTGTTCATCGGATCTTTATGAGTCATAGCAAACTAGATGGCACCTAACAACAACAAATATAAACTGAATGCTATTTTTGTGTAACATAAGGATATATAATATTCTGGTCCTAACAGGTTACTAGGCATTCTGTTCTATTTGGTAAAACCAGTAACCAGTTTCTAGAATGTTAACTATGCCCCAACCTTATTTGTGTCAGAGTATTATTATTGTTGTGCCATGCAATGTTTTCAGTGACAGAGTAGTATCTCTGAGTAGACTTAAACTTTCAACCTCCATGCTAGCACAGAGCATGTCAACCACCTGCAAACACCTGTAATCCAAAGATTCCAGTTGCTACACACTTCATTTTTGTAAGTATTTTCCAGCATTCTGTACTTGGACTTTCATAGGCATCATTCTCATATACCAAGTATGTATTTCCAGTTCGAGAGATCTATGTAACTAGTTGAAAACCAAATCAAGCCCTCTGCTGTCAAGTCAATTCTGATGCATTGAGATCCTTCATCAGGGTCTCAAGGCTGCAGATGTTTATGAGAGGAGACTGTCCATTTTTCTACTACAAAGCAGCTGGCAGATATGAACCATTGACTTTTCATGTAGCAGCACAACAAGTAACACACTATGCTACCAAAGCTCCTTATGCAAACACTCCAAGCCTGATTTCCCTTTCAGCTAATTGTTGTTGTTGTTGTGTACTATAGAACTGGAATTGACCCACAGCTGACCCTCTGGTGCATTTTCAGAGACAGATAATCACATGGGAGGAGACAGCCCATCCTTCTCCTGTGGAGCAGCTGGTGGCCTCAAATCACATGCCTTTGGGATTGCAGCGCAGTTTCTTGCCAATAGTCCACCAGAGTTCCCTAGTATAACTCAACTGTGTTGGCCATCTTTAGAATAAACTTCAAATTATTGCTCGATTTCTCAACAAATGGTCATTAAGTACCTATTATGTGCTTATCACAGAAGATACTATGGTGAACAAGACAGACACACTCTAGCTGGAAAGGTATTTTAGTCTAGTCAGGAAGTTAGACAAGGAGCAAATAAATAATCGTATTTAGTTTGGTAGCTCTGATGCCTTAGCAGTAAAGAATTGCACTGCCAACACAAAGGTATACAGTTAGAATCCCCCAGCTGCTCTGTGGGAGAAAGATGGCAGTCTTTTCTGGTCTGATCAACCGGCTCTGAAAACCTGCTGGGAGTGTCAGCTATGGGTCACATCCGACTCAATGGTAGGCAATAACAACATAGCTTGGTAAGTTCTTTTAAGGCTATGGAAGCATAAAACAATAATCAGAGAGAGTCAGATTATCAGAGGTTCTACTTTTATCCTCCCTTTTTATCCTTTTTCTAAAGGAGCTGAAAAAGCCTATTTTCCAGTTATAAAACTCATGCCCCTTCTGCAGGGTTCAATTAAGTAAGGCTCCTTTGCTGAGTATAGAGCATTGAAGGCGATTTATGACCAGTTCCAAGTTTGCTTTGGCAATTTGAGGACCTCCTGAATTCTGCTCACTAGTTTGAACTTCTCACTTCTAAGTTCTTCACCTGGGAATATTTTCACTCTTCTGTGTCTTTGACTCGCACTAACCCAGCTGCCTCCGATACTCTTACTTACTCTTCATTACCCAGCTCAAATGTCATTTCTTCTTTTCGGCTTTCATTGACACTTGCCCACTCACTCTTTCTGGATAAATGTGATGCCTCATTAATGTGCATACTCAAGCACTTAACAGTAGTAAATGAAAAGTAATCTGGACTTAGGAATCAGATCAACCCCTAGTTTTATAAGTTATTGACTTGGATATTTAATGCTTAAGTCTCTGTTTTAGTTTCATCACCTGTAAAATTAAAAGACTATGAAAACTGACTTTAGTGTGTGAAATACTTATACTTCTGGGCATTTAGTAGATCACTCATGCTCATTTAGATTATAAACTCAAAAACTCAAGCTCACTGTTATCAAGTCAGAACTGACTCAGCAGACGATTCACTGAGTTTCTGAAGGTATAAACTGCACGGACCACATACAGGGTTATATATATATATATATGTTTGTCTCCTGAGGAGCAGCAGAGGCTTGGCCTTTAGATCAGTAGTGAAACTCCCTATCGATTATACCCATAGAGCTCCAGTTACCTATATATAGGCTTTCCCTGCAAAATACTAAATTCCTTAAAAACAAAAGCTAAAATAAATCTTTTTATCCTGGCTCCTTTGCAAATATACTTGTATTCAAAAGTAACTCAAATGTTTTGAGTTATTGCTTCCTATATACTTTTCCCTTTTCTCTGTATAAGAACCATATCCACACCCATAGTGTGAACAATTTTATACTACTAGAGCTTTACACATTTTTTTAATATATCTACAGGAGGCTCTAGTAGGTAGCCCATCAAATGACTATTATAGGAAAGAGCTTCATTGTAAGGTTTAGAGTAAACAGTTAACTCATAGAACCAAACTTAATTCATTGTGTTGAGTTGGAATCCACTCCTGGCTGTCTTCCCAGTGGGTTTTCAGTGGCTGAAAATTGCAGAGGAGGAGATTATCCACCTTTCTCTTGCAGAGAAGCTAGTGGATTCCAGCTGTGCACCTTTGGGTTGGCAACACAATGCTCTCCAACTGGGCCACCAGAGCTCGTTAACTCATGCCTTTATTCTCATGTTTAACTTTCACTGCTCGTATATAACTCTACAAAAACTAATTAAAGAATGAATGTGTGACTCTACATAGGCAATTTTCTATGAAACATCAAATACTTGTTTTTAATGACTCTCTAAAAGAACCCAGTGGTTGTCACCTTTGGCTACATTTCTGCATTATTTGAGGAGCTTTTAAGCCACTATGCCTGGGGTGTTCACCTGACTGATTATATCAGTACTATTTGGAGTGAAACCCAGGCCCTTTGTTTGTTTTCTCCAAGTTCATCAGTGGTTCTAATGTGCCACCAAGGTTGAGAACCACTGAACTGACTGACTTTTTGTGTCATATTCATAGACTGGCTCAGTCTTGTAAATCAAAGCTAGGTCTGGGATTCAGTTCTATCAGCATCACTTGGAGGTTTAGAAATGCAAAATCTGGGGCCCCTTCCCAGACTTCTAAATTAGAATCTACATTTTAACAAGACCCTCATGGGATTTCTATGCCATTAGCAGTTGAGAAGCTCCGACATAGACCACTGCGTGGGAATGTGATTTTATGAAGTTTCTCTTGGCTGACAAAAACTTAAATGTTACTCAATGAAAAGGATTAAAAAAATTAATACATGCTTTGAAATATTTTTCAAAGACGACTCTCCCCACTCTTACTGTTACCATTCCCACCAGGCTCACATATTGCACACCAAGACTAACACAAATTACTCCAATACTGGCACCTCCCACTGTGTTTTTCCATACTCATCAATATTTACGAGCACTTGACTCTAATTTGGCACAATGAACCTTCCTAAAAAAGTATGACCTTCAAACAATCCCCCTGCTTAAAAATTGATTCCCTCCTCATACTGCTCTGCAAGCCTCAATCCTTTTTTGGTTTACTTAACCACCATTTCCTGATCTTCACAGAGTCCTGGAAGGAGAGTGTGAATGGTAATAGGTCTCTACTGCTCAATGAACGGTTGGAGTTTGGGTCTACTCAGAGAGAGGCAGCACTTAAGGAAGGCCTGGTAATCTATTTTTGAGAAATCCCATGGAGTACACTTCTACTTTGACATGAACTTGAATCCACAATGGTAACTGGTTAACTGGTTTCTTGATCTTCACAGAATTCTATAACACCACACTGCTAGCTTTGAGTTTGTTCTGCCTTGGTTATGTTGTGGTAGTTGTTAGGTGTCACTGAAGCAAGGACAACTCATCGTAAGCCAATGAACAACAGATCTGAGCCATGCCCTATTCTACGGCATCTTCACCATCTCTGATACTCAAGCCCATTGTTAGAGTCACTGTGTCAATCCATCTTATTAAAGGCCTTGTTTTGTAGTCAAATCAAACTTTATATTATCCTTCTTTCTTTCCATTATGTTTTTTTCTTATAAGGGAGCTTTTCTTTTTCATCTTTGTTAACAGACATGGGAACTCAATTGTTTATAAACGCTAATTAGCAATAAAAACTGAAAAAAAAAAAACCAGCTCTAGTCAAAGTAAAGTTGCTCTTAAGAGTTGTTTCAGTTCTATTTTCTGTAACAGAAGTCTACTGCCTGTCTATAGCCCATTTCTGTCAAACTTCCTTAAAATAATAAACATAGCTCAAAATTGATGCTAAATGAATTAACTGTAGCTTAAATGGCTCAGGTCTCACTGCTGACCATTAATTTTATTAGTAAACACCTCAAAGCATAAGGATTAAAGCTTTTCATTTCTCTAGGTAGCAAAGGACAATACTGGATATACATTGATTAAATGATTCTTCTAGTTTTTCAAAGCATTAGCATTAAGGGGATGGGGGAGGAGGTATTTTCTTGACTTTCATTTTCACCAGCCTGGAAGAGTAAATTGTTTAAAAAATTTGCTCACCTATTTTTGTTGCACTGTAAATATTTTCTATTGGGAATACAATTCCTAATCCATATAGCAGAACTTTTGCCAGGGCTGGGATGAGTTGAGTTGTTGTTACTAAAATATTCACACAGTTTGTCCTAAGAGAACAAGAAGAAAAAACTGTTGAGGAGTAAATCTACAAAAGGGAAGAGGTTCAACAAGCTGATTTTCCGGCAGGGCACCAATGTGCCCGCAGAGACCTCACCGGGAGTGAATGAGCGTGAGGGCCTTCAGTGCCAGCGTCAGCCAGGAATCCGTCAGGGCCTCAATCTCTGCCCTCAACTGCAACCAGGCTTCTCTTTTGGCTGGGCCCAGCAGTCCTGTGGATGTCAAAAAACATGGTGAACTACTTCTAAACCAGCACGTCTATTTACTTCACATAATACTACATATTTAACACTACTGCTAACAATACCTTTAAACCTGAAAGTACATGGAGTGACTTTTCATATTCTTTTTTGTTTTTACACGAATTTTTTTCCAAGTGAAAAACTAAAACAGTTGTGCTTAACGGTGGCGCCTGGCATTCCTGTTTAGATCAGAGATCTGAGCTCTGTAAAATTTTTCATTGACTGATATGTCAGAAGTAGATTGCCAGGCCTTTCTCCAAGGTACCTTTGGATAAACTCAAGCCTCTAAGCTTATGGTTAACAGCTAAATGCATTAGCCATTGCATGACCCAGAGACCTCTTTTGTATTATAATTATTAGGTACCATTAAGCTATGACTCTTTAGAGAACATTTCTACAGAGTTTGTTTGTTTGTTTTTTAATTCCTAGCATCTTTTCTTCTGGCTGAAACATATCTCTTCCTTTTGGGCAGCATAGTCTTTCTCAGCTCTACAGACAAAGTTGTTTAGTCAAGGAAGTATCTATCACCTTGTTTGAAGTATCAAATTTATCCTGGTATAAATTTGCTGAATCCACTGACAAAGATTTTTTTTTTATTCTCCTTTATTTATGTTTCTAAAATGTGTTCTGGTGGTAAAGTGTTAACTGCTCTGTTATAACCAAAATGTTGGAAGTTCAAACCCACCATCTGCTTTTTGGGATAAAAAAGTGATGGTCTAAATCCATAAAGAGTTACAGCTTTAGAAACTCTATGGGACAATCCGAGGGGATTCTGATGGTTTAGTGGTAAGGAGTTGTTGTGCTGCCAACCCAAAAGCATATGGTTCAAATAAATCCACCAGCTGCTCCATAGAAGAAAGATGAGCACTCTCTTCCTAAGCAAAGTACTGCCCCTGAAAACCCAGCAGATGGCCAGCTATGAGTTAATTCCAACTTGGCAGTACATAACAACAACAATGAGACAATTCTACTTTGTCCTATAATTGGTAGCATTATGATGAGGAGGTATGCCCCTAAACTCATAGACTTTAAACCTGAAGCTACTATTGGTAATCCTGCCATGTTTTAGGAGGTTGTAACCTCTAAGGACTTCTACCCAAAAGAAACATGAGATTTTTGGTTGTATCAGGGAGCTCTGTTGGCCTAGTGGTAAGGAGTTGTGGTGCTAAGCAACCCAAAGGCTACATGAGGTCCGAATCCATCCGCTGCCCTGTAGAGAAAGATGGGAAATCTTCTCCTGTGTGATTTACAGCCTCTAAAAACACACTGGAGGGCCAGCAATAAGTTGGTTTCAACTCAACGGCACACAACAACAACACCTACAATCATTTGAGTGTCTGAAGTCAACATTTTTCCTGGAACCACGACTTCACCTAAGCCTTTAATTGGTAAATCAATATGTTGTTTTTCGTGAGAAATCTATTTTTAATTACATTCAAAGAGCCTTAACTAATAAAAGCATCTACTCAGCAGATGAATCTTTAAAAACCCAGTCTGTAATTCAGGCAAGAGTAGCTGGTTCCACAGCATCTTTAAGATAACTGAGTGCCAGAGAAGTCAAGCAACTTGCTCAAGGTCACACACATATCACTGATGCCATGGAGGGGCTGGACCAGCCCAGCCAGGGCAGCGGGCTCTCCACTGATAATTCTGTGATATTATCTGTTAGATGAAATGGCTGTAGAATAGCTGGGTGATCCAATAAAGCGTGAAGCAAAAGTGTGCGGTCCATTAGACCCGTCTGTTGACTATTGTGACCAGCCACTAAGATACTGGTGATCCTCACTTGCCTCCAACGTTGTTTTTGTAGGTGTTGTAGATTTCTTTTACTCGTCGGTAGCGAAAGGCCAGCTTTCTCATCCAGTCTACACCGCCCCGTACGCCGGTTGCTAAACACAAATTAGCACTGGTTGCTGCAGCCGGAAAGCCATCCGTTCCAAAGTTATACGTGCTATTTAGATGCAAGAGAGGCTCAAAGTTAACCAACAGAAAGTTCCTATTAATTAGCAGAGCACTTATTTAGACACTAAGAAGGGCTGAACAGCTCACCTGAGGTCTTGTCCATTATCATCTGAAGATACATCGTCTATATGGACTTGGTCACACTCCTAAAATGGAATAAAAATAATACAAGTGATCTCCCTTTTAAAAAAAACCCAACTCAATTTTTAAAAAATTCACACATTGCTACTTCAAATAAACAAAAATAGCCTTAATTAGATTCTTTTTCTACTCTGTCAAGCAGTAGGTGGCAGTCTTGTTAAATTGACATTTTTACCTTCTGTGGGTCCTCTTTTTAATATGAGAAATAATCAATGCCATTAACAACTACTGCCATTCAGCTTTCAAATAGCACATTTTTGTGTTTAGAAAGGAAAGTGATTGAAAACAATTAGCATATGTGTTCTATAAACCTCAGGTACCTTCAGACATCATGCTGCTCAAAGCTGATTCAGTCAATGCCGAAGCTTAACTGAAACCAGACATTTTGGTAAATGGAACATGCTAGAAAAATTAAACCTGATGCTAACTGCCAATGAAATTATGACCTCTGATTGCTGTTGAGCCACACACCAACACAGCCTGAGGCCAGTGTACAGAGGAGTCCAGACAAAAAATCTGTTACTGGTTTGCCATTTATTTGAGAGATGTGAGTTTTATTCTCTCTCTCAACACACTCACTCACTCACTTACCTTCTGATGGGATGGGGGCAGGAGAGAAGAGGAAGACTTTAAAACTTAAATAATCAAATTATGCTTTCTTTTTAAAAGATAATGCCTGTTTTGCTAATTACTACATAGTCATAGTCGATTATTAGATTTATCAGTTTATTAGATTGTTACTTTTAACAGATCTGTCTTTCAAATCCCAGCCACTGTATAGATGAAAAGACAAATACAATGCACAGAGACACTATAGGACAGGGAACTAACCCAGAAGTATTTCTGAGGCTGGAAACCTCTTTTGGGAGCAAGGAGATGGCTACACTTTTCTCTCATGAAGTGCTGTGAGTTTTAACTGCTGACTTTTTGCTAACAGGCAATCATTTTAAGCACAATGCCAACAGAATCCTTTCAACTGTTTAGTTTGTTGTTATTGTTAGGTGCTGTGACATAGACTTATAGCTAGAAGTCCTAATTGTGGGGTAAAGCTCTTTTGAAAAGAGTTACCATTTGTGCACCTGTTTTGCATATATAAGCACTCATATATCATATACTCCCTGCTGTATCATTAGCCCCCAGCAAAGTGTGGGAAGAGCAGACGCTGAATAAATACTTGCTGAAAGAATGAAAAGATGCTAATTGGGATATTTATAGGATTTCCAGTCCCAAATCACGAAGCATATACTTGATAGTCCTTAAAATTCAAGTCATTTTTCCTCTCTTTGCAGTTAGGTTCCAATTACCCAACATACCTTTATTATATGTATTTCCTTTGAAATTTTAGTTTAAAATATTTTAACATGTTTGAATAAGCATCTTGCATTTTAAAAGATTTCTTCTGACAAAACAACCCTGGTCACAGTTCAGGGACAGTTAATTTGATAAATCTGGTCACCTAACATTTAACTTGGTAACCAAGTTACCGGATATTGCCTAACGTTTTACTCAGTAACAAAGATGGCATATATAAAGCACTACAGTAATAGAATGTATGTTTTTATGTTGCTGGTTCCTTCTGAACAAATTCTTTTCTCTCCATGGATTTGTGAGGAGGGAGCAGGACACAGAAGTGGAAAGAAACTCAAACCAGCTGTTCCTTAACAGAATTAAAATTGTGACTACCTCCCCACCCCCAACCTCTCTTCTAAAGCATCTACTTTGCAGCCAACCCTCTCCCAGCAAGCATCCAGTTCCAAGAAGGAAAAGACTTTGACCTTGTAACCTTCTCCTGCTCTCCTGAGGTCCATAACCTCAGATAAGAAAAAAGGAAAAGCAAGTCTAGGAGCCCTCACATGCTGACTGTGAATTTAACATTTTAAAAACAGGTCATTATTTGAAAACATTGCTGGGCACTTCTCAGAGCCATTAATTTACTTTCAGACGATGAGCAAGAGCAACTAGCATTTTATTACAATCTACTCAACTTTAAGGAATTAAGCCATTATGAAAAATGTCAGCCTTGTATCTTAACTGGAAGACATTTTTGAGGTTTTTGGTAAACTGGTGAAGTTTGATTAATGTTCCATCAACAACAATGAAAAGTCAGGGTATCAGGAGGAAGACATTTGCTCTCAGGGGAGAAAGAGCAGAGGGAAGGAGTCAAGGAACTTAGAGGAAAAGACATGTTAACAAGAATTCAACTCATGGAAAAACTGCTGACCTAAAATGACATGGTTAACTCTAGGTTTGAGGAAAAGTCTTTGGAGAAAGCAGGGTATTAAGGTGCTTTTCTTACACTAATTTAGCTGTAAATCTCTATTACTGAGGGAGAAGTCAGTCATTTTGTAATGAGTGTTAATGACTCCATTATTGTCACTGTTCTTTGACATGCTGTATTTGTTTGCTCCAAGAGTTTCATTTACTACTTTCTGTTCTCAGGCTCTCATTTGAAGTACTGTTGAAGCCTTTGGTCAACTCTAATTAAGTGTCAACAGCTTCAAGCTTTTACCTGAAGATACCTCACTCACTTCCTAGGGATTTGATTAAAGTTTGCTGTGGTGGCAACCAGAAAATACTCATTCCTTATCAGGCAAACAAAATATAGAGGATATTTTAATGAGAAGAAGTCAGCAAACCAAGAACATTTTTTAAAAAGATCTTCATGAATTAAAAATACGTGTAGCACCTTAAAGAATAATAAAAAAAATTCATTAAAATGTTTATGGAAAATGTATCCATGGAACTGACAAGCAATAGAAGAACACTATGTTACACAAATTTCAAGGATAAAGAAATGCAAACTAAGATTTTATTAAGTATAAGTCTCTGCGTAAGAGAACAGTAATATATAAATGCCTTGGGAGACAGGCTGGACTTTCTTTATTTTAAATTTTAAGTCCTTTTAATGACAAGCTATAGTTTTACTGTCTTTCAATGAAGACCTGCTACAGATCTTCAATCCTAAATGAATGGCAAATAGCAACATATGAATTTTCATCTCACAGCCGAGCTACGCAATGTGTTAACTTCTTCTTTGCGTGTTTGTTCTCAGATTAGAAACTACAGTTGTCTCCATTCAGATATCCTGAAATTCCGGCTTTGCAGGGGTGACATTTGTCTCTTTTTTTACAGAAGCTACCTCAGTCTTTGTTTATTGTCTTAAGAGCCGGATTTTGGTTTTATTTATGCATTCTGGACTTGGTTGGATTTTCAGTTTCCAAATTCCCCTTAAGCCTAGAAAATCAGATAGCTGCGGGAGGGGTGTGGGGCCCATTTTGAGACCCTCTCCTCTGCTTTAATGCAGAAGTGGCTCCGTTAAAGCAACAGAGTCTAAAACCACACAGAAAGGCTGCAGTCACAGAGGACAAGAGTGGAGGCATAACGGATCTCCAGGTGCCAAAGCTTAGTCCTGAAAACCTTAAATTGGTCCTTAACACACAGTGCAGAACACACAGTTCCATGAGAAAACAAGTTTTCATTCCAAAAACAGATTGAACGTGAACATGCTGAAAATGTGCTTTGACTATAAACATTCAAAATGTATGAGATGGGGTTTTTAAGGAGTTGAAATAATGTTTGGATCCAAGTTTTGGGACAACATTCATGTTTGTAGGGGCCATGAACAGGTCAGCCAGTTTCAAATATTCTATGCAGTCATCTGTTCTGGTCAGACTCCAGAGACTCAGGGCTCTTTACCATGCTTATGCATCTGGCCTGGGACAGCGATGGCAGAGGTAGGGATCCAATGAATGCCTAGTAGATTCTGCACTCACTCAACTAAGCTGACTAACTGGTGACTCGGCTTAAAAAGTTGGCTATAAATTCACTACTATATCAGGTTACTCAGTGGCTACTATGTTTTTTGGTGGGCTCTGGTGGCTCAGTGGTAAGGCATTGAGCTGTCAACCCAAAGGTAATGGCTTGTGGGAGAAAGATGGGCAATCTCCTCCCTTGTGAATTACTACTTCTAAAAACCCACCTAAAGGTCAGCTATTTGTCAATTCTGACTCAATAGTACATGTTGTTGATTGCCATTATGTGCCATTGAGTTGCTTGTGACTCCTAACCACCCTATGTACAACAGCCCTGAAACCTGCTCTATCCTGTGCCTAGTTTACTGTCTCTGATATACCTATTCTCATTACCCCAGTCACAATATCCATCCATTCATCTCATCAATGGTCTCCCTCTCTTTCTCCAACCCTCCACTCTTCCAAGCATGATGTACCTCTCCAAGGACCGGTCCTTCCTTGCAACATGCCCAAAGTACGTCAGACGAATCCTTGTCTCCAAGGAGCAGCCTGGCTTCACCCTCTCAAGGACGAACCTGTTTGTTCTCCTGGTAGTCCATGATATATGGAATAACCTTCTCTAGTTCAAGGGCATCAATTCTCCATCTATCATCCCTAGTCATTGTCCAGCTCTCTGATGCAGAACAAGCAATTATGAAGCCTGTGGCCTGGATCAGGCTCATCTTAGTCTCCAGACTGAAGTCGTTGCTCTTCAGTACTCTGGAGAGGTCCCTCACAGTCGACTTTCCCAATGCAATTAATCTCTTCATTTCCTGGCTGCTGGTACCAAGAGTGTTGATTGTGGAGCCAAGCTGTTAAACAGTCTCAATCAATAGTACATAAAACAATGTAATATAGTTTTGGTCACCTAGGTAGCTCTGGTGACCTACTGGTAAGAAACTGCACTGCGATCCCAAAGGCCTGTGACTTATGCAGTTTGAATTTACCAGCTGCTATGCAGGTGAAGGATGGGGAATCTCCTCCAGTGCAATTCACAGCCTCCGAAAACCTGCTTGAGCATCTGGGTCAGTTCCAACTCTACAATACTCAACAACAACAGTCATAACTGCTTGTCTGTTGCTGTGTTACTGGAACCTCTACTACCACCAGTACTTTAAGTGATGCTGGGAACTATACCACTAGTACTTTCAGTATGCTGGAAGCTATAATACTGCTAGTACTTCCATTAAAGTACTAGCAGCTTCCATAAAGCT